CTCCTGAAGGCAGTGAGGCTCTTCGGCTTTGAACGAGAGGCAGGAGAGTCGCACCGAAGCGCTGGGAAGTCTCCTCCAGCTGTACACGTGGAATCAGGCACGAATGGCAAGCTTCGTCACCTCTGGCCTGTGATGCAACTTGGGCGGGAAGGCCGCAACTAACAAACGATGTAGGACGTACCCCGTGTCCCTGGAACAGATCGCATGAGGCAGGTCGTGAACCCCAGCGGGGCCTGGCAGAGACCAAAGCAAGGTCGGGAAGCCAAACCCTCCAGCAAAACCCAATAGAATGAACACCATTCAAGAATTACCCCGCAGGCCAATATGGCCATGCACCCCTGTGCCAAATGCCAGGGAGTCAAAGCTCTGGGTCCGATGTCCGGGCCTTCTTGTTTTCATGGCACGAGAGTATAAGCGCCTTGAGCTCTTGCACCCCTGAGCTCATTTGTTGCTCTTGCTGAAGCTGTGCACTTCGCAGTCCATCCAAATTGGTTTGGAGCTGTTGTTGCAGATTGGCACCTAGGGATTGCAATTCCCCTCGCACCCTTTGCAAGTCGGCTGCAGCCTTCTGGCGGTCCTGCTGGCGTTCAGTTGCAGCTCTAGCCTGGTCGTCCCGCAGCGCAAGGACGCTCTGCTCAAGCTCAGCGAGTCTATTCTCGGTCGTACGGAGGCGGCCCGCCATGTGAGAGTCAAGCGAGGGGGCAGAGGTAGTCGAGGCCTTGTGATTTGCAAGCGTCTTGAAGTTCGTCCATCCGGCATTCTGGGAGGCCTTGTAGTGGCTCCAGGGGTCACTGTCTTGCCAAGGATCTTCTCCTTGGTCAGCAGTGGCAGCTTCACGAGGCAGCGGGCCGCCAGCCTGAATGACGGGGCGGTGCTGTTCATGACCTTTGACCTCACTGATAAGCACCGGTGTGGAATTAAAGCGCGTCGTCTGCGCCGGCGGCTTCGTTGCAGCGCCCAGCAACCAGAACTTAGGGCCAAGGGCTTTCATGGCCTTTGCCGGCCAACCGAGCTTTGTGGCCCACGCAACAACGTCATCTGCTGCGGTGCCTGCCGGGAAGGGGCCAACCTTGAACATGATTTTAATACTGACTGAAATCGGAAGGTCAGTGCCAGGACGGAGCTGGCGAAAGACTTTTTCGAAGGCCTCAGTGGGCACTCGGATCCCAATACGGCTCTTGGCCCGTACGAGGCCGTGTTGTTCGGCAACCAAGGCGGCCTGCTTCTCAGTCTCATTTCTGTCCCCAATGAGCCAGACAACTGCCCAACCTGGCAGCAGCTGGCGGTCCCAAGTCTTAGGGATGATGAACACATTATTGAATCCGGACTGCTGCAGCAGGGGACGCAACAAGGCCGTGGTGACTTTGGCATTGAAGCTGCACTGGTCACACAAGTGTGGCTGGCTCGGACGGCCCTCGCTTCTGAATTGGCGGCTCCAAGGGTCCTTGAAAGCCTGAGGCACTCCTCTCTGGCGAAAGGCATCTGCAGCTGCACGTACGGGGGCGCGAACGGTTTCCTGCCATTCTCCCGGGGGAAGTCAGCTTTGTGCAAAACGAAAGTGCAGCATGTGGCGCCGGTTACAGCAATGTCAGTGCCATGCTGAACGAAGGGCTCTATGTCCATGGAGCCCACATTGTGAAAGCATGCCGCTAGGAGGTGAACCTGTCCACTGGCCCTGTGTCGGGCAGGTGTGCTGACGGTACCGCCGCAAGACGACGGGTCCGGACACTCGTGTCCTGGGATCACAACACACAAGGCGTCAGACTCAATGTTGCGGAGGAGGTCTAGATCAACAGGCGTAGCTTCAGATGCATCAAGCAGAAGCACACCTTCGCTGGCATGCGTGGCAGTGCTAAGGATGCTGACTGGGGCACCGTCGATGCCAACCCACGAACCCTCTTCGAGTTGAAAATCTCTAGCCCTGACTGTCGTGGGCAGGTTGAGCTTTCTGCGCCTGACGGCACGCTGGAGGCGACGTGCGGCCTTCTCTGTGCGGTTATCCCCTTGCGGCAACGGCACGCCAACTGAGGAGGCAGCCTTCTTAAGCTCTAGCCACTGCTGCGTGGTATCCGCCTCAGCCATCACCTTCAAGCAGGAAGCAGACCCAAGCTTGGGAACCAAGTTATCAACCGTCACAGTTGTTTCCGGGAGGCTGACACCACGGTCGAGTAGCAGTGTGGCTACTCGTGTTTTGGCAAGCTGCAGGTTTTCATCTTTAACTCCGCCAACAACAATCTCTGGGAGAGTTTTCCTAATGACGCTGGCGCTGGCATGAGTTGCAACTTCGCCTAGTTTCTGGGTGTCCGCATGCAAGTGGGGGCCGGAAGCAATGCGGTGTGTTCCTGAAATTGAGCACGCGAAAGAAGCAGCCTGCCACCACCGGGAGACCTCTTGCAATTGCGTTGACCTAGGAAGGCGGCCTGACCACAACTTGCACGCAACTAGCTGGAGCTCAACTTCAACTCCGTCAGCATCAGTATCGGCAATGGAGGCATGCTCGGCTTGCGAAGCGAAAAGCCAAACGCGGCACTGGTTGTGCAACAAATCCATAGGCATTGCTGATCGGCCCGCGACCGGGTGCAGGTGGAACTCAATTGGCAAGTGATCCCTAGGCGGGAGGCCAAGGATCTCGGCAGACCACCCCAGCATCGAAAGAACCTGAAAAGGGAAGCCCATCCACAGATCGGCTGCCGCGGATGAAGGCCCACGGACAAGGATCCCGTCACCCAGGCGGTGAACGGAAATTGAGGGCACGTGCGGTGCAAGGCGGTTCAACAGAAAGGCCGGTATATCATCGTCCTCACTAAGTGCAACAATACAGTTGCCGAAGTGCTTGTGATTAGTCAACTTCTGGCCAGACAAGGAGTATACCCCCAACGAGCAGTTCGGGTCACAGTCAGGGTCAAAAGGTCCTGGAAGACCCTCAGGCAGGCGCGCAGCCCAGAATGATCAACTAGGTACACCCCCTGCTGGGTGAGAACAGTGCAAAGCCCACTTTTGATGCCAATGCCACCAAGGAAACCGCTCATGTGCAGTTGCGGCAGACGCTCCACTAGCAGTTGAGAGGGTTTAGCACCGGGAGCCCAGGGGAGATTGTCCGGCCGGTTGCCGTTTGCAGTTGCCTGAGCCCCCACAACCTCAAGCAGCACAGCAGTAGGGAGGCCCGGCGGGGCAAGAAGAGTAGCACTTTGGCCAAGTCCTGAAAGGCACAGCTCAACCTTGACAAAGGTGTCTGGCGCTGCAACTTTAAGGTCGGGAGGAAGGCCGCTGTGTAGGGTCCGAATGACCGCTTCAATTTGATCCTGCTTACACAAGATCCATCCATCCTTGGCTGGCATGAGAGCGGAATTAGAGCAGCGCAATCTTTCGGCAAGGCAGCACTGTGTGGCCTGCATCATTTCAGGGGCCTTAGGGGAACCTGTTAACCTGCAGGCCTGGGCTAAAGCGGCTGCTGCATGAGGCACGGCAATGGCGTTACCCAAGAGGCGCATCTGGTCTCTTTGGTCCTGCAACAGATAGATTGGCTGCACTGCCCCATGGATGGCAGCGATCTCAGCACCTGCAAAGAAACGCAGACCGGAAGGTGCCTCCAGGAGGCAACCATGCAATCCTTGTTGTTCCAACATGCGCGGTGGCAGCTCATGCTGGTACTGGTACTGTGCCATAAAGACTCCTGCGCAATCCTGTGGCCTTTTCACTCTAAACTGCTGTGGCGTTTGAGGCCGGATGCCCGGGCGGGCAGGCGTGGGAACCAACCAGGGGTCCATGTACATTGCCAAGGTTTCCGGTGCAGGCGTGCAGGCACTCAGCAGTACCGGCGGCAAAGGAAATATCACATCAGCCAGGGCAAGCGATTGGCGTTTGACAATGGCCCAGAAACCTTGGTCGACTGCTCCGGGCTTCAGTAAACCTGGGCGCCCAAACACAATCAGGTGACGCACCCGCTGGCCGGGCACAACATCTCTAAGATTGAGGGTTTGTTGCCACAACACTTCATATCCGCACTCCTTCCAAGCCTGCATGACCTGAGCATAGTGCTGGTGCTTAGGGAAAAACTCAACCTGTTCAAGAAGCACAAGTGGGATCTCACATACGCCGGCCACGTCTGCGACCCGCAACAGCAACTGACCATCGGAACTGCATAGGCCCGAGCCAGTGCCAGCTCGTGACCACGGTTGGCAAGGGGCAGATACGCACAGCACCTTAACCGGAAATCGGCCTAGAACCCTAACCCACCAACCCCACTGCACGTCAGCACACAGATGGAAGGTGTCGGCATGGTTGTCTGGCAGCTGGTCCAGCTCCTGAAGCGAAGAAATCTCCTGTAAGGTCTGCTCGCGACAGCTAAGCATTGGGGTGCACTGAGGGTCCACATCCAGCGACCACCTCACATGAATGGGGACTTGGTTGCGCCGAAACACGTAACAAGCCTGTGCCCATCCAGCGAAACCTCCACTGAAGATCTCTGCAACCTGAAGAGAGGTGTGGTCATGCACCAGCACAGTAGAAATCACCGCTGCGTCCATAGAAGTACAGTCCAAGAGGGGAACCTGACTTTCGTATTTCGCCTGCGCCTGCAATATCTTCAAAGGGGGCCTCGGAGAAACGGTAAATCTGCCAATCCGCAGCCCTCAGCACAAGCAACACAATCCGCGTTTGATCCTCGCCGTTGGAAACTCTCGCTCTACAAAAGACTCTGTCGCCGGAGTGGTGAGGTTCTTGGAATGGTTGAGCGACCAAGTTGACGTGTGCCCCCGCAGGGAGATAATCAATGCTTTGGCATAATACGCTCAAGCGCTTCCACTCAAGAGAATCCAGCAGAGACTCAGCAACTCTCGAAGGGGGACTTGTCATGGCCCGATCTGCACCTAGCTACGCTAGGTAAACCCTGAACCCTAAACCCTAAACCCTAAACCCTAAACCCTAAACCATAAACCATAAACCCTAAACCCTAAACCCTACTCTACCTAAACCCTGAACCCCGTCCCCGAGGCTCTGACCCGGCACCACCACGGCGCTTGGCCGAGTCGCCGAAGTAGGCGCCCACCACCTCGAGAGCTTCAGGGCTTTCGGGTTTCGGGTTTAGGGTTTAGGGTTTAGGGTTTAGGGTTTAGGGTTGAGGGTTTCGGGTTTAGGGTTTAGGGTTTCGGGTTTAAGGCTTTATTTGGTTTTAATAGGGCTCTTTTCTGTCTCCTGGGGTTTGGGGCTTCGGGTTTGGGATTTGGGGTTTGGGGGTTGGGGTTTGGGGTTTGGGGTTTGAGCTTGGGGTTTGGGGTTTGGGCTTGGGGTCTGGGGTTTAGGGTGCAATTAGGGGGTCTCGAGAGCCACTCAGCGTTTTGAGTCCTGCCGCCACGAGCCTAAGTCGACGACGCTTTGAATGTGCTGTAGGGAAAGCAGACGGTCTCTGGGTAACCATCGATATCAGGAGTTCATGGGCCTTGTAAACTCCAAAGGCTTCTATAGGGTGCCATACTGAGTCGCAAAGGCGTCTTGGCCTACTGGTTACCTGCTCACCAAGTCCCCCGACACTCCAAGTAGTGACAAACCCTAACACCCTAAACCCTAACACCCTAAAGCCCTTAAACCCTTATATACGCCCCAACCCCTCCGCCACAAAACCCTAAACCCTAAACCTTAAACCCTATATAAACCCTAACACCCTAACCTGAACCCTACACTTCCCTCAGCCCTACAGCCCTAAGCCCTAAACCAGGGTTCCAAAACACTGGGCTGCCGGGCGATGAGATCCAGGCTTTCAGAAAGGCCATCGTACCTGGAACCGCCAGCTTTCAGGGTCTTGGGTTTAGGGTTTAGGGTTCAAGGGCTTAGGGTCGGGGCTCAGGGTCGTGGGTCTAGGGTTCAGGGTTTAGGGTTCAGGTTTAGGTCGAGGGTTTTGTAGGGTTCAAGGTTTAGGGTCGAGGGTTTAGTAGGGTTCAGGGTTTAGGGTCTTGGATCTAGGGTTCAGGGATTAGAGTTCAGGGTTAGGGTCGAGGGTTTAGGGTCTTGGGTCCAGGGTTCAGGGTTTAGGGTCTTGGGTCAAGGGTTCACGGTTTAGGGTTCAGGGTTTAGGGTCGAGGGTTTAGGGTCTTGGGTCAGGGGTTCAGGGTTTAGGGTTTAGGGTCGTGGGTTTCGGTTCTTGGGTCTAGGGTTCAGGGTTTTGGGTTCAGGGTTTAGTCTTGGGCTTAGGGTGTAGAGTTCAGGGTTTTGGGCCGAGGGTTTAGGGTCTTAGGTCAAGAGTTCGGGGTTTAGGGTTCAGGGTTTAGGGTCTTGGATCTAGGGTTTCAGGGTTTAGGGATCAGGGTTTAGTGTAGGGTTCAGGGTTTAGGCTTCGGGGTGTAGGGTCGAGGGTTTAGGGTCTTGGGTCAAGGGTTCAGGGTTTAGGGTTCAGGGTTTCGGGTCGAGGGTTTAGGGGCTTGGGTCAAGGGTTCAGAGTTTAGGGTTCAGGGTTTAGGGTCGAGGTTTTAGGGTCTTGGGTCTAGGTTCAGGGTTTAGGGTTCAGGGTTTAGTCTAGGGTTCAGGGTTTAGGGTTTAGGGTTTAGGGTCGAAGGTCTAGGGTCTTGGGTCAGGGGTCGAGGGTTCAGGGTTAGGGTCTAGGGTTCAGGGTTTATTCAGAGTTTAAGGTCGAGGGTTTAGGGTCGAGAGTTCAGGGTTCAAGGTTTAGGGCCTAGGGTTTAGGGTTGATAGGGTTTAGGGTTTATATGGGCATCGTGGTGGATTCCTTATTTTTCTGGGTATTGCATGGAGCCCTGGGTTAACTTTCAAAGCCTTAAACCCTTAAAACCCCTAGCTAAAAACCCCTAAAAACAGCTAAAAACCCCTAAACCCTAAACCGAAAGCCTGCAGAGCTTTGGGTTTGGGGGCTGGCTTCGGCATAGAGCTTAGGTTTGTACCAGCGTGCACACGGCCTTTATGTTGGCCATCCGGAAAGACAGGAAGTTCCTCGGAAAGCAAGCAGGCTTGCGCGCCCACCTTCGTGAGAAAGGTGCTCAAGGACGAATCGGCGGGCTTGATTTTTGTGTGCTGAAGGTCCTCGCGCCAGGTTCTGAAAGAGTGAATCGGTCGTTTGTGCCTCAAAAGCACCCAACAGCGCCTGAGTGGTCTTCCACGTGCCCGAGGCCCAACTGCTCTCAAGCTTTAGGGGTTGTGTCCCACACCCTATAAGCTCTATAAAAGATACTTGTAGCCCGCGAAAGACTTACATCTTTAGGCCTCCGTAATACGATGTCCTAATCTAATGCATGCGATTGAAAACGTCGTGGGAATGTTTAGTGCTACAGGTACAATCTAAATCGGAAAATTCCAGCACCGTTCGCCGAAGCCCTCACCTGTGAAATCCCTAAACTCTCTCAAGCCTACTTAGTCTTGAGACTTGGTATGTATGGATAGCGACTGAGCCTTTTTCAGGGTTCAGAGTTCGCGTTTAGGGTTTAGGGTTTAGGGTTTAGGGTTTAGGGTTTAGGGTTTAGGGTTTTAGGACAGGGGCCGAGAGCTTGAGGGTTTCGCGGGTTTCGGAATTGAGATGTTGGTCTTGCGTCTTAGGTATGACGCGCATGCTGTCGGATGAGCCTAAACCTGAATCCCGAATCTAGGGCTGTCTTTGTTTCCGCGAAATTTGCGAACTCTGAACGGCGAAGCTTTGGGAATCCCTCTTGGGCCCTCAACCCAGGAATCCAAATCCCAGACCACCCTAAAGCCTAAACCCTAAACCCCTAAACCCCTAAACCCTAAACCCTAAAACTCAAAACCCTAAACCCTACAGAAACCCTAAACCCCAAACAATCGTCTAACAGAGCCCCTAAAAAAAACAGTTCCAAGTGCATGCGGGTCGCTCGGGCTTGATCTTGTACCAGCCGCGCCTGGGTCTTCAGGGTTCAGGGTTTAGGGTAGGGCCAAGTTTAGGGTTTAGAGTTGTCTCTCTAAGCCCCTTTAGGGGTTTTAGGGTTTTTAGGCTTTAGGGTTTAGAGTTGTCTCTCTTAGCCCCAAAAAGGTTGAGGCTATGCTCTAGGGTCAGGGTTTGAGGTTTACATGGAGGGTCGGGGGACTTGGGACGTTCTTCTATAGACTTATCAGTACCACAACCCCAAAGGACTTGTAGGTAGAATTCTAGGTAAATCCCCCGGACCTGCCTAGTAGGTTAGGGGTTCTAGCTTGGGATTTGTACTTGTCCTTTCAGAAAGGCCTTCTTTACAGACTTCGCCGAAGGCGTCGTTGTGCAAAGGCCTTGAAAGAGCTACCAATGCAGCACTTAGGGTTCACGACCCGGGGTATCCGGTGTCAACAGCTTAGAGGGTTTTTCACCCCTAAACCCTAAACCCTAAACCCTAAAAGCCTAAATCCTAAACCTGGAAACCCTAACCCGAAAACCCTACAAACTCTAAACCCTAAAACCCTAAAACCATCTAAAACCCTGAACCCTAAGCCCAAAAACCCTAAAACCCTAAAACCGTAAAAACCCCAAACCCTAAAACCCTAAAACCCTAAAACCCCAAAACCCCCACAAAAAAAACCCTCAAGCCCCTAAAACCTCTAAACCCCCCCTAAAACCCTAAAACCCCAAAACCCCAAAACCCCAAAACCCTAGCCTCAGGCACAGGACTTCCAGTTGTTTTCGAGCTGAGGAGTTGGGCCAGTCTGTAGGGGTTAGGGCTTAGGGGTTTAGGGGTTTAGGGGTTTAGGGGTTTAGGGGTTTTAGGTTTTAGAGTTTAGGGTTTAGGGTTTTAGGGGTTTTAGGGGTTTTAGGTTTTAGGGTTTAGGGTTTAGGGTATTTGAGGGTTAGGGGTTTAGGGTTTAGCGGTTTAGGGGTTTAGGGTTTAGCGGTTTAGGGGTTTAGGATTTAGGGTTTTAGGGTTTAGGGTTAGGGTTTAGGGTTTTAGGGGTTTAGGGATGAGGCTTGAGGGGCTTAGGGGTTTAGGGTTTAGGGGTCTAAGGTTTAGGGGTTTTGGGGTTTAGGGAATAGGGTTTAGGGGCTTAGGAATCAGGCTTTGGGTTTAGGGTTTAGGGTTTTAGGGTTTAGGGATCCTGCATTACCTTAAGGACCCTAAACTATGGGATTTATGGTATATTCCGTACTATGGGTAATGCAGGATTTATATCATCAACCGAAGTACACGCTACCGGAAGCGTGAACTTAGGGGTTTAGGGCTTTAGGATTTTAGGGTTTTGGGTTTCGGGTTTCAGGTTTCAGGGTTTAGGGCTTCGGGTTTTGGGGTTTTAGGGTTAGGGTTTGGGCACTGTCTTCCCAAGCGTAAAATCTAGAACCCTCTCTTAAGAGAAAGTTGGCTAAGGGTCAGGGCATCGCTTAGTAGAAAGTTGTGTGATCTGTGGCCCCCAAACTTAGGTTGAGGGTTTAGAGTTTAAAGTTTAGGGTTTAGGGTCTCAAGGTTTCAAGGTTAGACTTCCAAAACCTGCACCCATCCCACCCTCAATTTCTAGCTGGCACCCCCAACCCCAAAACATGAACCCGAAACCGAAGTACCCGAAGTACCCAAAGTACCCGAAGCCCCAGAGAGGGAAGCCTTGCTTGAGACGCCACAAATACCTAACCCTAAACCCTAAACCCTAAACCCTAAACCCTAAACCCTAAACCCCAACCGTTACAGGGTTGAGGGTTTAGGATTTAACCCTGAACCCGTACCATGATTTTCTATTCTTTGAACCAGTATCAGAAATCAGAAACCACACATGGTGTACGCCATATTCCTTAACTGAGGGGTATTGGGATCTGGGATCTGCAGCCCCTATGAAGCCTTTACGAAAGCCCTAAAACACCGTGAATAAAATCCTACAAAACCTCTGAAAACTAGTGAAGTCCGTAAACCTAAGCACTCCTAAACCCTAAACCC